GTCTAAAGTCTCCTTAAGAACTCCATAGATTTTGACTGTGCGTTCTCAGCACGTGTTTGTGTGTATGTGTGGCTCATCTTACACCATATGTTGGGGAGACAGGGTGAGGATAGGAGAGGAGCAGAGAAAGATAAATGACTTATGAAGTGAATGCATAGCTGCATTTACACACTGAGGAAGACAGGCTAAATATTCATCATCCTCTCCATCCCACTGTAGCGTTCTGCTGCAGGGCAAAGGCCTCATCAGAGACACGCAGGCCTAAAGAAGCATATGTCTTTAATAACAGCACATCCCTCTCGCCTTTCTCTACATCTTTATCAGAACACTCTCAACAGACAATCCAGGTTCAGTCTCTCTTCAACATACGAGTTCATGTGGGACCTTGGTGTATGTTAGCACAAGTGTGTACAGTGTGAATCGAGGTGGAGTGTGTTCGGTTCAGACTAACGGTCCATTACACTCATCCCTCATGCTGGGAAGGGAAAAGGAGATATTTCTCCCAGGACTCCCAGCTGGGCTCTGGCTTCAGTAGCGCCAGGTATTCCTGATGCTACCTCTCCCCTTCGTCCTGCCCGCCATCCCAGAGGAACACTGTCAGCTCACATTACACCCCGGAAGAGCGTTCAGCGTTCCGCTCTCCACCCGCCACCACCGCTGCTGCTGCTGCTGCTGCTGCTGCTGCTGCTGCTCCCCTGTCAGCCTTTTCCACTGATCTGATCTCCAGTCTGTGGGCGTCATATGGGAACGTCTTTCCTCTGCATGTCTGTCTACGTAGAGCTAAGTGTACATGACACTCACAGCGAGGACGCTCCATGGAGCAGTGAGCACAAAGAAAACAACAAAGGGTTAAGAGCGCCTTCTGATGGAAATGTGATTCTTCAGGCATTTTACAGACACCTTAACTGCCCCAGGGTGTATTTATACATGCATACACAGGCACACGCACACCCACACACGCACACAACAAATTCAATGTTGTGACTCAAGGGTATCACACCATTATCTATGCCTGAATTATTCTCTTGATGCTACTCTATACCATTATATGGATGCTATTACAAAGCATTAAAGGGCTGATTATGGCTATTATAGATATGATTATAGGGTACCTGCTTATATGATCTGCACACAGCAGTAATCACAGGTGAGAGGAGACAACTGTCTAATTTAATGACTTCTATCTGCAATATGCATTTACACTCCTAGCCACTTTTACACAGTATACATTAACAGAGATGCAGGTAAAAGGAAAAGGCCTTAGCTGTGAAACAAATATTTGGACACCAGGTATTCATACAAGTGTAAGAGGAAGCTGAGTGATGTAATGAGAAAACGTTACAGTTTAAATGTGTGTTTAAAAAAAAAAAAAAGCCTTCGGTTGTTCTTTGGAAACGGAGAATTGAATTATACGAAGAGAAAAATGAAACATTACTCCCGAACAAGGTCAGAGCACGCAGCAGTGTGATCATTAACAGGTCAGTATAAGGCCTCCTCAACAGGGTAGCCCTCAGTGTGTGTATGACCAGCAGAGAAGATGAGAGCAGGTGTCAGCTTGACGAACACATATCCCCTTCTCTAGAGACAGGGGGGAAAAGGGAAGGCGAGATGGAGTAATGGGAGACCAGAGGGAGGATAGAGGGGGGTTGAAGGGGGGCCACTGGAGCAAATCCAGCAGGGAGAAGGTGAGCAGCCTGCCTGCCTGCCCGCCCGTCCGCCTACCCTCCCCCTGCAGATTGAAGTCTTGCGAAGAAAATAAAGTTTATTGCCTGGAAAGAGGGGGGGAAAAGCATGTAAAAAGCATTAAAGCGATGGAGGTGAACAATTAGACAGATGGCCAGGTTTTGGAAGGAGAAGAGGAAAAAAAGGGGTAGAAAAAGAGAGGGAGAACGCACGGCCGCAATCGTTCAGGGTTTTTATGAGGACCCTGACAACTCCTGGTCTCTTCAAGGGCGAAGGAAAAGTGAGAGGCAGCAAAGCCTCTCTGGTTAACTCTGGAGTAATCGCTGAGTGTGCAACACCACAGAGCTCAGCTCGGGGTGACAGAGCTCACCGCCCCCAGCTACACACAACCTATTGCTCCATCTAAAAGCAAAAGGCTAATTATGAATGAAACAGACGTGTAAATAAGCTTTTAGGGCTTGAAAACTCGAAATTGCGACGACTGTGTGCTCATCTTCATGACTGCACATCCGCAAAAGAGACGCATGTTTGAGAGAGAAAGCGGCAAGGTCACCAAGACGATAACAGGGGCATCAGATCCCTCAGCCCTCTACTCCTGCCGCCACCTCTCACCCCCCCCCCCCCCCCCCCCCCCCCCCCCCCCCCCCCCCCCACCCCCCCCCCACACACACACACACCTCCAGCCGTCAGCCCAAGAGAACAGCTGTCTGTAACGTGACAATGACCTTCACGACTTTCACCAGGAGGAGGCAAAGAAGGAAGGAGGGGAAAAAGTGTGCCCCCGTGAGTTGAGGTAGCTGGCCTCTGCAGAGGTTCTCCTCGTCTCTCCTGGTGTTTTCCACGTGTGTTGGGGAATGACGTGTGGTCACTGCTGTGGAGAAAGACGGAGACAGAGTGGGGGATGGAGGGGGAAGAGCTCTAATACAATTATAACTGGGACCATCCAATCCAATAAAATGAAGAGGTATTAGAGCAGGGGAGCCCCATCCTGTTCAATAAGATACTGGACCACTCTACTAACTCTTAAAACACACACATGTAGGCATACTCACACATGTGCACACACAGGTACACACACTTCGCTGACCCCTTTAATAGCACAGCAGCCGCCCCTAATGGACGCAAGCAAGTGGAACCGCCAAATAATACACTGTCTTAATGCACTAGGCTCAATCTCATCCCCCTCTCCCCTTATCCCTCTCAGTCCTCCCTCTCACACTTTAACCCCTGTTTCCATCTTCCCTCACCCCATGCTGCCCCCTCACCACCTCAGCTCCCCTTATAGATCACCAATGCAGGGACAACACTTAAGAAATCAAAAGTCCCCCCCATATAGATGAAACACTTGGCCTGCAGACCTCAGTTAACACCTCAGGCAGGGAGAGGGATGGTAAAAGAGTGAGTAGGGGAAGATAAAAAGTGAACCATGTTCATTTCTATAGTTTGATATAGTTTCTCTCACTCTGTGTGAATATAAAACAACTAATATCAGTATAAAGCAATGGCAATATTCAATGGCTATATTTTTACTTGCAGGTGCGGAGGTAAGGTTTTGTAATGGCGGTGAAAGTGAATGAGCAGGGAAGACACCATGTGAAAAGGGCACCTTATAAAAGCAATTAGAGAAATGACTTTGAGCCCCTCTTCTTGCTCTGTAGATTAGAACAGGCCTCGGAGGGAGGAACACAGAGGAACTCAGATCTCCATGACCTTGTCCGCAACACGCCACACTAAATTGGTCATCAGCTTTTAAGACTGTATTTTATCATTGATATATATTTTTAGCAAAAAGAAAAAGAGAACAGAAAGGAGGGGGGAAACCGTGGAATGTGCTGCTCGTATATCATCCTGTCACAATTATGACGTTTGTTCATAAATACCAACCAATCTCCTCTCCACCTGGCTAAGTCACATGCGCTTGTGCTTATGCATGCTCCATACACCAACAAAGAAATATGGACACACACCACGTGCGGTGAACGCACATGCACACCACAAATAAAGAAACAGACACATCTGGCTGAGTGCCTTACCGCAGATCGGAGAACTGACCTCCACACACAAAGAGACTGAATACACACTCAAGCAACATGCATTCAAACACCTAGCACAGAAATGAATTCAGACGCTCTGCACATTACAAACACAAACACACACAAACAAACAAGTGTGCACATACACATACACATCCACTTACTCACTGACATGCACACACACTGCAATTAATAGGGAGGCAGGTCTCTGGTGAGGAAGAGAAAGTGCCTGTTCAGCACATACAGGCAGAATATGCAATTTCCTCCAGTTAAGTCTGTATTAAATTGATTTCTTCTTTCTCTGAAACGGACTGGGTTTTTCCCCCCTAATGAAAGCTGGATAATCTACAGGTTTTCCCTTTCCTGAAATCAAGTTACAAATCAAGCAATTGCAGGGGCAGATATGGGAAAGGTGAAGGAAGGACATGGGATGATTTTCCAGATGAGAAACATGAAGAATGAGGCACATACGTGCTGATACTCTTAACACGGACATCAGGGGTACCTCTCTCTCACACACACACACACACACACACACACACACACACACACACACACACACACACACACACACACACATACACACACACAGGGAGTAAAGGCCAGGCCTAAGTTAAGTACTTGCTGACATTTCCGTTCAGTGACGCACTGAGGGTACAGCAGGGCCATGTTAGTAAACACAGCATTAATGACTGTAATTAATGAAACATATTAATTAGTAAGCACTTCAATCAGGTAATCACTCACTGAGACCTGACAAGAAGCTGTGTAGAGGCTGCAGAGAAACACTGAACATGCTGAGAGAAAACACAAAGAAGGAG